TTTGTATTAGTTTTTATCTTTGCAATTGTAATTTTTAATAAAATTACTATTAAAAAAAAGAGATGAGCCAAAGACCTGGGGGCATAAATGGTTTGCCACTGCCCTTTTCTAGGATGTTTTCTTAACTTCCATTCTATTTCCTGGTGGTCTCCCATCCAAATATTAATCAGGTTCAATCTTGCAGCCATATTTGGAACAATGTGAAATACGTTCCAAATATGAAATATGCTAAGCAATCTTTCATATTTCTTCTACAGATCTGACAATCTTAAAAGTCAAATTCATGAAAATCCATGTAATACCAAATTCAAGAATTCATACAAGTTATAACTTGTAAAATCACAATTTATTCTGATTGTTATTATACTGAAATGGTTGCTGTTCAAGGAAAAAAGAAAATTTCTGGCTTCATATCAAACATTTTAAATTCACTGTTTTAAATAACTGGGGTTCCAGGCTGTTTAAAACATCCGGCACCCACTTTTATGCACAGATGCAGTGCTAGAACTCTTGTTATTTAAACATTCTATTAGTGTATCTGGTTCGACTCAGAGAACATCTCTCCTTATCACTTGATATACACGTACAAGTAATTTATTTTTCATTTTAGCCACCATATTGATTGCTGAAAAGCACAAGGAATCAAATTAAATGCAATGAATAAATATAATGTCAAACCTATGCTTTTTTAAATACAGGACACATGTGTCTCATTTTCATTAAACAAACTTAGATGAAAAACTAATGCAACAAAAACTATTTGAATTTTCTATTGCACATACAGACTTTCAGTTATTTCTCATGTACAGATCTATTACTATTTACTATCAAGATACATGAACACAGTCCAACACAAAATTATACACCTTAACTTTGTGCTGAACCTTATGTTGGATCCTCTCCCTTTCTAGAAATCTCCCCATGCCCCACCCCACCATCATCTCTCACATAAGAACTCACATTTCATAGGCTTCTGCATTTCTTACTCCTTTTTACTCTTACATGTGTGTATGCATGTGTTCCAATCGATTACCTGAATCTCCATAGAGTGAAATGTCTTGTACCAAAATATGTTACTTTCTATAACAGAAAAGGCACAGAATTAATTGCCACTATTGTGTTCAGAGTGATAATGAAAAGTAATTTATCAGCAGGCCATAGTCATTGTAATTTAAAATGATCATTCATCTTTCAAGTTTATAAAAGGAGTTAATTCTTAGTCTAGTACTATTCTGTGAAAGAGAATGGCATTCCTTATTTCTTGTTCTATTTTAGAACCAGACTCAGGATAACCAATTACTTGTAGCACAATAAGGCAGCAAAAAATAAAACATTAACAGAGTAAAAACAGAAGTTACAAACGAATATTGCTAGGAGCCAAAAAAGACTCTCCTTACAAACGTACAAGTGACAAACAAATTAGGATAAAATATTTTACAGCCTAAAGGCAACCTTCATGTTAGATCTGCAATATGATCACTGGTAGACACAGACACATAAAAAAAAAACTCTTCTAGATATCCAGTCAGCTGAACAGAAATGGTTAAGAACCATAGCGGTCCTAGGGAAAGATGGAAAGAAATGAAAAGGTTATATTTCTTATGAGCAAAATTACCATATTTACATACACAGTTTTCATTTTAACTCTGCCACAAACTGAAATCTATACTGATGTTATTTTGTACCCATGTTACATTCACAAGTAACTAAACTACATTCATAATAATTTAGAGTTTACAGAACAATTCCTCCATCCTTGGAAAATTAAGGTATACTTCTGTTTCTGAAAACTCTGCATATATAACTGCTGCTTGATTAATTGTGTTCATGGGTAACTTAATGAAGCAGCCTGAAAAAGTATAAGGACCTTCCTTCATTCTTTTCTTCATTTATTTCACAAGAGATGTTGATTACCCTAACAGAAAAGGGCTTTCCTTTTTTAGCTGCAAAACAATCCATCTGTGGCCATGAAATACTCTGCATATATTCTCACTGGCAGATTCATGGATCTTAATGAAAATGTGGAATTCAATTGTATGCTTATGCAGGTGCAAGAGACCTTCCCTTTCCTGTCAAAATGACATTTCAGCCAATTTATAAACACACTCAAAGGGATCCACCCTTCATACAAGATCCCAGGACTAAACTGAGGAAGGTAGCATATGGAACAATTTCACTTTGGAAAGATTCCACTTCTGCAAGTTTACTAACCTGAATAGAGGTCATGACTCCATTTGCCAGGACAGAAAGCTTTCCAGCAACAGACTTCACTCCCTGTTTAAACTGAGTCATATCAGGAGCAGCGGGCAAGACATTTGAAATATTGTAACTGCCTAAAGAGAGAGAGAAAGGTTTTAGCATGTAGTTCTATAAAACCATTTGGAGTGAATAAACTCAACATGATAAATTAAATAAAGTTGAATTGTATCAAAAAGTTCATTTGATCTTTGAACAAATGGGCAGCTTCTACATTTTTGTTCTTCTACACAATAAACTCAGTTTTTCTGTACAAACAATTGAAGACAAGATGAAACCAGAGAAATAAAGGATGTTACCAGCTTGCAGCAACTCTCATAAACTGAAAATGAAGAATAAAGAACTAGCAGCAGGAAATGGCCTTCTCCTCCATCACTCCCAGGCTACTCCTTCAAGAGGTGTGCTTAGATCCACTCTCTCTATCTTTAAGAAACCAGTAAAGCTACACCCCTGTAGCTGGGCTTTTAATGGTTACAGGTTTCATTATTTGTGTTCTTACTTTTTCTTTTTTATACCTTGCACATTTGTGTTTTAAATTGAAAGCCACCTTAAACATCCTTTTCAAATGGAAAGACTATATGGAGAACCATGTACAGTGGTACCTCGGGATACGAACTTAATGCGTTCCGTGACTCTGGGCGTATCCCGAGTTGGTCGTAACCCGATGCAAATTTCCC